AAGGTTATAATCCCTTGTTCATCATGACGTCCTTTATACTTTGATGTCTCAACAGCGTTACGGAGATCACGTGACGTGAGGGTTCTGCCTTTGTAGTGAGGGTTGTGAGTTGACGCCGAGGAGGGGGGAGGAGGGGGGAGGAGGCGCCTCGGCCCCCCATGTGCAGTGACGTCAGCCGCTAATTATTATTAATGGTGTGGGGGTGTCTATTTGGAGGACGTCACCTTATAATGATTATTAATGAGGGGGGGATGTTCTATGTGGAGTGACGTCACCTGTTAATGATTATTAATAAAGGGGGCTGTTCAATGTGGATTGATGTCACCCGCTCATGATTATTAATGAGGGTTGGGGGGGGGTGTCCATTTGGAGGACGTCACCTGCTCATGAATATTAATGAGGGGGGCTGGTCGATGTGGAGTGACGTCGCGAGCGTTAAGGACAGACATTCCTGGGTGATTATAGTAGGTATACTCGTTCCCGCCCCCCAATTAGGGTTTCAAATGGGTTATAAACAACACAAGGTCAAGATGTGTAACAAAATTGTGTTTTTGTCCCTGGGTAGTGTTATTTCCTAATCGATTATGCCTCAAAAGTAGAGAAAATGGCTATTATTCCCCACAAACTTTGCTTTTGTGACCAAGGACATTGATATTTTGAAATATACCTATTTTCAATGAGAAAACGTGGTGTGCATTTGTGTCTTTCGTTCACATAATGACCTGGACACAAAAGCAAAGTTTGTGGGGAATAGCCATTTTCTATACTTTTTAGGCATACGCAATAAAATAAATAAAAAAATTACACTTATTACCCAGGGACACAAATCATGTAACATCGTGAATTATCAAAGGGGCGGCAGGGTGGTGGTAAACAATCGTGTCGCACTCACGACACAAAACAGCGCATGGGTTCGATTCCAGACTCCGGCACCTTTGTGTGTGGAATGTGTGTGTGTGTTCTCTTCACCCTGTTCTGCCGTGGGTTGTATCCGGGTTCCCCGGCTTCCTCCCAGAGGCAAAAAATAAACCCAACAATACTTTTAAAAACATAACAAAGCTGGGAGGGTTTTTTTTTTTCGGTAAACTCCGACAGCTCCGTCCGACAGCTCTCTTCTTCACCTGAGGACGGCTGCTTGCGTTGTGGCCGAAACGTCGTGAGAATTAAATTTTATTCTGTTTTATTTTTATTATTTTATTATTTCCCTTCTACGTGACTTTACCGAAAGAACCAAGAAAATGAATCCCTGCAGTCACGAAAGCTTGAAATCGAAATTTAAAGCTGGGAGTTCACCAAACGTCCCAATGCTTCAAATTATCTGCAATTTTTTCAGTTGGGATTTCACACAGCAAAGCCCCCCCCCACCGCCCCGAACAAGAGGCTTTCCGTGTGGATGACGACGCTAAATAATAAACACAACACTGTACAGGAGTTGATTAGACGCTGATCACGACACGTGTGCTACATCAAAGACACTCCCCGTTCATCCTTAACAGACTGCAGGGGCAAGTGCTGCTAGCGAGTAGCACCTATGAAGGCCGGAACGGTACACGAGGGGGTGGGTGGGCCAGCACCACACCCGACCGCCTTTGTCTCCCCAGTGACGATGTTTACACACCGCACCAGGTGCTCATTTGATGCTGAGTCGACCTAGGGGAGAAGGCCCAGGACCGGTTCAGATAATCGTCGCTGGTATTGGCCGCGTGCGGGAGTCAAACTCGGCTCGCCGGGGTTCACGCTACGCAAACTCTTAGAATCGCAACCAACTATTGAGAAGTTGACGGCTCTCGTGACCCACAAAGTCGCAACGCAATCCTATCACTCGCGTCATTGTGGAGAATATGAAGTAATAAAGAGTATGGATTCCTGCAGTCACGAAAGCTTAAAATCAAGATTTAATAAAAGTCCCCTTTACGTATTTGCGTCTGCACATTCATATAACGTGTGTAACGACTCTGACGACGAAGTAGTTAGAGACACTTTTAATTGGACACAGCCACAATAAAGGACCCTAGGCTTCGTGCGTGTCTTCCAGCTTGTATCGTCTTCCTCCATAACACAGGGGTTTTTTCTGGGTTTAATGTGTCGTTAAACCCGCCACGACCCGACACAGCCATTTAGTAAGGTTTGTCACGTAAACAGAACGCGCCAATTCGTCACTAGTACAGCAACACTGGCGTGTTGAAGAGCCGAGCCACAACATTTACAATCTGAGCACGACGTTTCGCCAGTAATTACAGCTAGCTTCATCAGGCGACAGCCAGATTTGTGGATAAATCCTCCTGTTGCGTTCCTACAAACGAGGGGTAGATGTGGTGACAACGTATCGTCCTCCAAACGTGCCCACTCCTCGTGCTCTCCCCTTTTATATTCCTCGGGCCCCCTTTCTCGAACCTTCTTGTCCGTGTTTTTTTTCCTTTAGCCAATCCCAGTCCTTCCGCTCTGACGAATACTGATTGGTCCACACCAAGGGACGGCTTGGTGTGGACCAATCAGTTTCAAGGACAGTGCATATATTATCATAGTATGTTTTTTGTTTGCATTTTGAATGCAGGGATTGTGGTTAATGCAGACATGAATCCTCGTAAAAAGGTTTCAGTTTTGTTGCCAGAAAAAAGGGGGGAAACCCCTATTATTAGAATACTCTCTCTGTTTTCCGATCGATCTCGTTCGAACATTATTCCTCCAATCTCTTTAAAAGTCTGCCTACCGACCAATCACCGTGGAGGCCTCTTTTTACCAACCGGCTGCATATTGGCTCGGGGTCATTTGTCGATCATTACACATATGAGCGTATTTGTTTACACAGCCCATGTGGGCACCACGGCCTTCGTACTGCTCAGAACAAACTGCGTCAAAGTGCGAAGCAAACTCAGTTTTGCTTGTTCCGAATCGATGCCGTTGATATTCTACGCTTGCAGAGAACTGTGTGTCCGATGGGTTCCGTAAACGAATACTTTGATTTTTACGTGGAGAGATAGAGATGTGAAGGAGACGTATTCTACCTATCTGTACAAAGACAAATATCCACCGTATAGTCGGGATCAGACTGTTGGGGCAAGTGCTGTGAGCGAGCACCTATGAAGGTCGGCACGGCACACGGAGGTGATATGTAGCGCAGTTGTCAGCGCCCTGCGCTACGAACCCGACCACCCGAGTTCGATTCCCGTGCACGGCCACCAACACCGGTGACGATTACCTAAACCGGTTCTGGGCCTCCGCGAGGTCGACTCAGCCTTAATAAACGAGTACCTGGTCCGGTGTGTAAATGTCGCCACTCGTGATACAAAGGCGGCCGGACGTGGTGCTGGCCACCCACCCGGATCGTGTGCCGTGCCGTGCCTTCGTAGGTGCTACTCGCCAACAGCACTTTCCCCAACCGCCTGTGAAAAGATAGATGAGGGGAGCTTCGTAAGACGAATGGCAATGCCCGTTATTTACCACAGGAAGCCGCGATGAGTCCTGGCACTCTTTCAGTAGGAGCCCGTGATTCCGTGGCATGTTTGGAATAATCCCAATTCATGAGCGGTCGGCTTCGCGTCGGAGGAAACCGGAGATGCCGAAAGGGAACCAAACCACGCGTACGGCTCGGGGTGGGATGGGGTGACACTCAACAGGGCTATCTCCTGGTCACACCTCGCATACACACACCTGCAGCACCTGGCAAGCCCCCGGTGGTGGTGGTGGTGATGGTCCACCCAGTGCCGGACTTAGCAAGTGCGGGGCCTGTAACATGATGTTATAAAGGGGCCCTATTTTTTTTTTAAACACATAAATATTAAAACACACATTTTTTTACTTGCATAGTGAAGTAATTGTATTTTTTTTTTCATTTGCTAATCAGCCAGATAATAAGACAAATCGCTAACCTTAAACACTCGATCGTTCGTAAAAGCTGAAGGCGGTATAGTACTACATTAATAGAGCAAGTGCAGAATCACTGAACCCGAATTGATAGCTTGAAAGCATTTAGCGCTGGGGGTTTGAAAGTGCGGGGCCCGTAGCTACTGCATATGTAGCTACTACATATGTAGTAGCTACATATGTTGTAGCTACTTTTGCTACTGGGATAATCCGGCACTGGGTTCACCCATCCAGGTGACCAAACCAGACTCTGCTTCGCTTGCGATGCACAAAGAGGTCGGGCGCGACTTCATCCCAACTCTTCGCGTTCCATCCTTCCAAGCCCCCCCCCGCCCCGACTTATATATAGCCTCAGTAATGAACATTTAATTGCATTCTACGCGGGAGCTGTAAAGTTTTAACAAGCAGCAGGGTTGTATTTTGCCCTCTCAGCTGGGGGGGGGGAGGGGGCTGAATGGCGAGTAGGGGAAGGGGAGACGGTGGGGTGGGGTTGTTGAGGTTGAGTTACACCAGCGGGCCCTCGACCCGTGGGTCAAAGCCCTTTTTGTGCGGTGTAGGCGAAGCACAGGCTTCGTCGTGGATACCGTGCGGGAGAACTTTCGAATTGTGCGGGGAGTGGGGGGAGAAGGTCAGCACCCCGTCGTGACGACAAGATCCGCTGATACTCGACCGTGAGACGAACGCCCAATACCGCGGGTGTGTGATGTGTGTGTGTTGTGGCCTCCAGTAGCCTGTGGTGTGTTGTTGTGGCTGGTGGTGGGGAGCGGGCGGGGGGGGGGGGAACAGTGGTTTTTATTGGGGCGCGGAGGGGGGCCCAATCCCAAAAAGATGATGGAGAACCACTGGGCCAGGCGTTTTTGGTAAAGCGATTGGTGGCGAGTTCAGATCCTGGTTCGGGTTTGACTCAGCTCATCGTCAACGCGGGGTTGATAAAAAAAATATATAAGCAACACCTTGTGAAGAAGTTAACAGTTGTTATTCTATGGATAGACTCGCCACAGGAATGTGGAATTTCCGCCACTAACTCACAATTTTCTTGCGGAGAGCGAGAGAAAAGCGTAACGAATTTGTGGTTTGTCGGACATTGGGGGAACGAGCAGCAGCAGAGAGGAGGCGGCTGGAAGAGAGAGAGAGAGAGAGGGGGGGTGGAGAGAGGAGGAGCAGGGGCAGAGAGGCAGAGAGAGAGAGACGCGGCTTAGGTTATTTTTGGTGGCATTGCCCGGGTACTCACATAGCCTTGTTAGGCTCGGCTCGGCACAGGAACCCAACCGAGCGTCTGGGCAGCCAAACTGATCGTGCATCCTAACGGAGGCAGGCAGGCGGGGCTCGGAGCTGTGCGCATCTCCCCCCCCTCTCTCTCTTCCTCTGGAGCTCTCTCTCCCTCTCCCCTCCCTCTCCCCTCTCTCTGTTCCTGCTTCATCCGCTCAGCCGTTCAGGTGAACGCTGCTGCTGCTGCCGCTGCTGATGCTGATAAGCGGAGCCTTCACAAGAGAACCGAGCATCGGGTGCGTGTGGGCTGCTGAGACACCGCAAAGCAACCTGAAGCAACGCAACCACAACCGCTGGATTTATGTAAACGATATAACGGAAAATATTATTTGAAAAAAAAAAACAGCAGCAGCGATAATCAAGAACAACAACAGACGACGAACCAGATATGCCAGCGAGGCAAGCCTTGGAATCGCGTCCGAATTAGCATCGACATTGTCTGCACCACAGCAACAGCATCGCCGCCGCCAGGAGCAGCAGCAGCAGCAGCAGAACATCTCCTCTCGTCTGCTATCTTCAGCTCTACACGAGTGGAGATCACCATCATACGCGCCAAGAATGAAAAGGATAAAGGCGTACCCTGTGACTATCTCACAATGATTGTAATATCATTATTTTTTTAAAAGGCTGCGCTGGTAGGGACATTTTTTTCTTCCCTGAACACCGGCTGGACGCTGCGACGGTGTTGGTGTTGGTGGTGACACAAAAAGGCGGGTTCAGGTGGAAATGATCTCCGTCGACCGTTGTGGGGAGAGGTGAACATTCCATTTTCGTCACCACATTGAGAAGACTGTCCTTTCCACCTTCACAACCATCATCATCAGCAGCAGCACCATCAGCACTCTTGAGAGGGCTGTGGGGGGGGCATATCTCTTCATCGCGAGTGACACTCCTTCCACCACCAATACCACAACCACGACGACCGCAACCATCACCACAATCACCGCCACCACCACCTCCACCACCACCAACATCATCTCCTTCGCGGGCGTGAGGCTGCGCTCGCTCGGGCGCAGAGGAACGCTTCATGCATGAGTGGGGGACGCTTTGATTTTGATGACGGCGGCACTTACTGCGGCGGCTGGGAGGACGGCAAAGCTCACGGGCACGGCGTGTGCACGGGGCCGCGCGGCCAGGGCGAGTTCTCGGGCAACTGGAGCCATGGCTTCGAGGTGGTCGGTGTCTACACGTGGCCGAGCGGCAACGCGTACGAGGGTCACTGGGCGCAGGGCAAGAGGCATGGCCTGGGCGTGGAGAACAAGGGGCGATGGGTGTACGCGGGCGAGTGGACGCACGGCTTCAAGGGACGCTACGGGGGCAGGCACAGCATGAGCAGCGGAGCGAGGTACGAGGGCACGTGGAGCAATGGGCTGCAGGACGGGTACGGCACGGAGACCTACTCAGATGGAGGTGGGTTCGTCGTTTGTGCGTGCGCGTGTGTGTAACCTGGCATTGATCGTGCGCCGTGAGTTGTCGTGTTGATAACTGTTAGCGATTTCACTGTGTTTCGTTTTGCCAGGTAAAGGCTCTTTTTCAGAATCGACCTGGGTATCACAAATGATAGCTCGGCAGAGTCGCTTGTCACGTGGACATTTATAGCAGCCAGACACTCTAAATACACGTTTCTCAATGTGGAGGGGTGGGGTGGGGGGGAAAGCGAAGGACCCGGAGAAAAATCCACGCGAGCACGGGGAAAACATCCAAATAGGGTGGGGATCGAACCCACGGCCTTCTGCATACCGGGCGAGGTCGGTAACATCTCGCGAATGAGAGCGCGGCGCTTCAAATCCGGCGGTGCACACGAGGTCGATTTCTCGCTCGCGGACACCACCAACAGCGGTGATGATTTTCTGAACCGTGATGGACCGCCCCTAAGTCGACTCAGCCTCAAATGAGTACCAGCTGCGGCGTGTTAGATAGACATCGCTGCTCTGGAGGCAAATGCGGTCGGGCGTGGTGCTGGCCACCCATCCCCTCTTGTGCCGTGCCAGCCTCTTCATAGGCGCTCGCTAACAGCACTTGCCCTCTGCTAAAGGCTATACGGGGGATATTTGTCTTTGCATGTGTGTGTTTTTTTCTCCCTTTGATTAGATCTCGAACGCTAAGCTGGCTAGCTGGAGCCTGCTCAGTGCGTGAAATGGGTAACCACCGGGGCTTGGCAGATGTTTCAGAATCAGAACAAGTTTATTTCCCGAGTGACACGCATGTTAACATGCATGATGGTGCGAGGTGTGGGCCACTTGATCGAACCGTTGTCACCACGTCTCGTGCGTGCGCGTTTAATTAACAACGTCGCCGCCATCGTGTTGTCATAGACGTCATTCTCACCATCATCATCATTCATCATCGAGGTTTTTGGGTTAGATCGCATACTCGAATTGTAAATGTTGTGGGTTTAGTCTACAACACACCGGTTTGCTGTACTAGTGACGAATTGGCACGTTTTGGTCACGTGACAAACCTTACTAATTGGCTGTGTCGGGTGGTGGCGGGTTTAACGACACATTTTTATTTACCCCAAAACCTGTATTATGGACAATATTGGTCGCGAAAGCCTGCGTGTTAAATCATCGTCATCATTGTCATCACTGCCAACATCCTTGCATCATGGTCATTACGTGGGCAATGACCCCTCCACCCTGAATACACGGAAACTCGTCGAATCTCGGATGAAGATGGTTAGTCCTCGAACGGTTGACCATCCGGGCTTTGCCAGGTAGTCGTAGTTGTGTAGAATCGGAGGGTGGGGTGGGGGCTCGGGGTGTGGCCAGCCAGGAGTTCGGCCAGTCCCAGGGTGTGACCCCACCCCGCACACGTGGGGTGCATTTTCACCTCTCCAGTGTTAAGTTTCATAATCTTCGTCAACACGCTCATTCATTGTTGCCATAATTTTGTCATCGTTTTATTGTTGTTGTTGTTGCCCTTTCCCCGCACCACCTCCGATTAGCACGGTCGGCTACGTACGAAGCGACAGAAGTTCAACATACCGTACATACATCGCTGCCATTGTCATCACTGATCAGTACTGAAGTGGGTGACCCACCAGCGCTTGCCGGCTGTGGGTCGGTTTGATGAGCAGCTGGTGGCAGTACAGCATTGGATTTTGGTCGACGGATAGATTCGGTCCACATTTGGATTCAGTTTGTTGATTGAATGCGTGCACAGAGATACTCGGAGTGTCTCACACCCCCTGGTATTCCGTAGGGTTTTCTCCGGGTGTTCCGGCTTTTTCGTCACACGTGCCGCTTATATTCGTGTGATTGGTCAAACATTTAGCACGTGAGGCCCTCGAGAGAAAGAAAAAACGGTCTTGAGGCTCACGGAGGCTTTCCTAGGTAAATCATATTTTCGATTCGAATGTGAGCTTACTGTTGCTGCCTTGGCCCCTGATGATGATGATGATAAACAATCCAGTATCTTAGCATTAGTGTACAATACAAACACCGTATATATAACAGGAAAGTAAACAGTACGAGGACAACGATTTGGAACATCAGCAGTGTTCGATGATGATAACGATGAGGATGGCCTTTTTCTGTGACGTATTTTCCAGGGTAACTCTATTGCATGGCGGAGCGGTGGCACGGTGGTTAGCGCACTGCAGATTAAGAACCCGGTGACCTGTGCTTCATTCCTGGCCAGGGCTAGCGTCAGCGGCGAGTGAAATCTGAACCAGTCCTGGCCTAACTTCCACCCCCCACAACAGCTCCCTCCTACCCCCCTTTCACTAACCCTTACTGACCACCACGGTGCAGTATGGCAAACGGAGGCCATGATCCAGAAGTGAATTGACAATGCAATGTATATAATGTATCTGATTCAAGTAGATAATCCTGACTGCTCCGTTGACTGGTGTCAACTCTAATTATGTTCCAGAAGGGCTAGAGAGCTCACATTGTGCGCAAACATATTAGTCGCGCAATGGGTTTTAATATCTCAACATCAGTCATTGCAACGATTTCGTCCTCCCATACATTGAGGCCAGCAGGTTGCTTGGTTTCACTCGTAGGGCCTACACCTCTACACCACGTGATGTCTCGTGCCGAACGCTCGCTCGTGGACGATCACCAACCATCGGTGAACCAAGTAATGCGCCTCCATTGGAGTGTAACGCTGCATTATAACAGGGGGAAAAAAAATCTAGATCGCCGCACTTATATAACGCGCGGTCCTCAGATTATGTCGGTGACCCCGTCTTCTGGTGTTGCGTTCTTTTCCCCGGTTTACGTTATTTATTCAGTGTCCTGTACAGTATTTACACTTGTAATGTGGCGGCGACGGCGGTGGTGGCAAGTTTCTCTTCACGTCTCCCAGCACTCCATCGCCGGCTCTTCCTTGAATTCTCTTCACGTCTCGTTTGCTGCGCTCACCGATGGCCTCCTGCTCAGTAACGGCGCGCCGTCTATGAACGCACGCGTTTTAATCTTTCACGTCGGAAGCTGCTTCTCGTCTCGTGAATCTTGACAGCTCCCTGTGTCAGGCTTCCGCCCGGCAGTAATTGGTAGCCGGATCACGGCGTTGTTTGGTGGTGATGCTGATAAGAATAGTAATGATTGGGGCGAGGGGGGGTGCTAATAATGGCGATGAACACTGTGAAAATATTGATGATGGTGTTGATGATGAGTGTCAATGGTTCGGGATATTATAACAATGATGTTAGAGATCATGATGATGAACATTCAATACGATCGTCGTTTTGAGAATGGGGAATCACATGGATGATTACGGTGGTGATGATGATGACGATGGTGGTGGTGGTAGCAGCCATTCTAATTGTTATCACAGTGATGATGGCCATAACGGTGGCGGTGGTGATGACCGCTTATGGCAATAGCTCTGGTGACCACGAGGATTGGGATCGCGGTGAATGTGGGCACGGAAACGCCAAAGCCGTCGACGATGATCGTGGTGATGATTGATCAGCCGATTACAGTTATGACAACGACGCTTTGGGGACAATGACGACGACGATCGTCTAGGTATCTAATTACTCGGTAAACGGTCACGATTCAATTCGAGGTCACGCTTATTTTCAACGATAACATAAATCACGTAAAACTAGTGCGTTCCATCTCATCGGCATTATTTCACATTTCTTGTTTTATTTTTTAGTGGGTTTTGTTCACAACCCGTTGACCTAAACATAACACTCACATTTAATTTACATTATTCGTAAATGATTCATTCACATGTGCACGAATCAATGCAAAACAAATCAATTGTAATCAGTGAATCGATGCATTGTTACATACTTGATGACAGTGGTGGTGGTGGTGGTGGCGATGATAATGGGAGTGAGAGCCTCACCGAGTCTCAGGGCTTGTGTTCAGGAGGATCCTGCACTGGAATATTTCACCAATTACATTCGTGTGAGTTTTGCTTCATGCTGGGGGAAGCACAGAGAACTCGGGGAAAACCCAACTCGGAGCTCCATCCAGGTAGATTCCATCCATTACTCTACTGCCATCTTCTGTCCACCTAGCATGCGACAACAATCTGACAGGCCGTGCCAGTCCCCATCGTTTTTAGGCAATAATAATAATTATGATGATGATGATCATCCTCGCACTGGACTTTCATCCTCGCAGCAGCGGCTTTTGTCTGCTAGCCATCGAACAAAGACCAGTGACCGCATCGCGCGCTTTCGGACGCGCTTCTGCGGCCGTCTGGAACGCTCTTCCTTCCAATGTTAGGAAGCCACTGGAACTATGCACCTGTAAATCATCTAATTTTAATTCTCATGAGAACAGTTTTTATTTGTGGTTTGGTTTGTTGTCCTTCCCCCGCACCTCCGATTGGCACGGTTGGCTACGTACGGTGTGAAGGAAGTTCAACATACATACATGATGATGTTAATAATTATGGCGGTAGTGATGGTATTGACAATGATGACAAGCACTAACCATGACGAAACATGATTGTAATGATGACCGTGATAACAATGGTAGTGGTAGCAGTAATCATGATAACAGCAGTGACAACGATGACCCCTATGATGGCAATGTTGATGACGATGATGACAATTATGACAGTCACCAACACACGGTGACAGCGCTGACGATGATGATGGTTGATGATGATCGTGACTGTGACGACATCGACACAACACCGAATGTGGTGGTGATGATGAAAATAAATTATGGTGGCAATGATAAGAGTGGTGACAGCTGTGAGAAACTAATGCCACGTTGATAATGATGATGATGATAACGGTGCCAATAGTGGCAGTGATGACACCACTGGCAACTGTGATAAAACTATGGCCACAGTGACAACGATGACAATGAGAGTGGTGGTGATGATAACGGCGATGGTATATTTATATGTACGTTGAACTTCTTACGCACCGTACGTAGCCGACCGTGCTAATCGGAGGTGCGCGACGACGACGAGAACGCTGGGCCATCATGACGGCCACAGTGAATAACGACGACGCTTTGGGCAGCGGCTTCGGTGTGGTCCGTGCCACAATCGCGATCCGATCCGATCCCAATCCCCCCCCACACTCCCCTCCGGCAGGCACCTTCCTGGGCCAGTGGATCAACGGCATCCGGCAGGGCTACGGCGTGCGGCAAAGCGTGCCGTTTGGCATGGCCGCGCCCGTGTGCTCCCCGCTGGGCACGTCGCTCACGTCGCTGCGCAGCGAGCACGCCAACGGTGCCGCGCTCCTCCTCAACAGCGACGGCACCCCGCTGCCCGGCTCTCCGCCCGCCTTCGGCGGAGACAAGGGCTCCCCGCTACCCTCGCCCACCTCGCCCATGTCGCCCATCTCGCTCGGCGGCGTCGGCGGCCTCACCCTGGGGCCCGGTCTCGCCACCCGCATGGGGTTCGCGCTCAGCCTCAGGCCCGACCCGGACACGGACCACAAGAAAGGTGAGCGCCCGTTGGCCGCGGGCACGACGTGGGGGTGGGGGGGGGGCAAAACCGCAATCGAATACGGTGCGGAGAGAAATACGTAATGGGGGGCCGGGGTGGGGGGGGTGGGGGGCTTCTGGCAGGACTTGATCGTAATGATAGAATAAAAATTCACGTCCTTCTACTATTGAACACCGACGCGTTGCACTGGGCCCCGGCGTTTTTTTTTGTGCAATAAAAACGTAACAAAAAAAATAAATAATAATTTTAGCTTGCAACGCACCGCACAGTTATTCACTCGCTCTCGTAGAGGCGCGAGGAGGAACCACAGGCAAGCAGACAAAAAGATGCACGCAATTGCCCTAGCTTCCGTGATCCTCTATATATGCAGGTGTAATCGGCCAAGTCGTGAGTGTTTCCACGTGGCTAAAAGGGGTGAGACTATCGCCGGAGCGGATCAGCAACCAGAGGACATCGTCCTCTTTGCAGCCTCGGCGTCGACTTGGTCAGAGCCGGTAGATTGGTGCACGCTGCAAGCCCGCGAGTGGCTGACTCCCAGCTCCGTCTGTCGCCGGCTGTCACCCCGTCCACCTCCACGAGTGTCCACCCCCCCCTCCCCCCCGTAATCTCCGTGGAATCCTCATTTATGCCTTTGACTTACTCGCATCAATGGAATGTCTCAAATATTAGAACCACGATGCACACCTCTCCCATGCTCTCGGCGGTGGCTCCCCCTTGATGCGCGCATTCTGCACTGCTTGTACGGCAGCCGCGTTTTGATGCTTCATCGTCAACTTCATCAACGTCGTCAACAGCATCAACAACATCGTCGGCCGCGATCAATCAACTGCGCCGCGGTGGCGAGATGTTAAATCCCTCGCCTCGTATGCAGGAGGTCGTGGGTTCGATGACGCCTATATATCTGGAGTTTGCATTTCTCTCTCCCCGTGTGTCACGTGGATTTTTTCTCCGAGTCCTCTGGTTTTTCCCTCCACATTTTAGAATTGACGTCACGCGTTTAGAGTATTTATCTGCGGCAAATTTCCACGCGGTAAGCCACTTCGTTGAGCTGTCATTGGTAGCTTCTGAAAAAGAGCCATATCGCTCAGTGGGCCTGTCCTGGTAAAATAAAAAATAGTTTCGTTTAATAATTAAATAAGAAGTCCTCCACCAAGCTGTCCGTCGCCATGTCTCTTGGTCCTGCTGTGTAAACATCCTCCTGGCATCCGCCCTTCGCACGCGAGCTGATCTCAGAGCCCACGAACACAAAAACTAAATACTTAGAAGCGAAAATAAAATGTTTCATCATCGGCCACAGCAGCAGCAGCAAGGCTCGGAGCCCTAGACGAAGAGGTGAACGTGGCAGGCACCCGCACCGGTGGAGCGGTGGTGCCGACGCTCACCCACAAAGACAAAGATGACCCATATAGCCTTAACAGACTGTTGGGGCAAGTGCTGTTAGCGAGCACCTATGAAGGTGGGCACATCACACGAGGGGGTGTGTAGATAGCTCCATGCCCCGCCGCCTTTGTCTCCATAGTGGCAATGTTTAAACACCGCACCAGGTACTCATTTGATGCTGAATCGACCTAGGGGAGGAGGCCCAGGACCGGGTCTAGATAATCGTCACCGGTGTTGGCCGTGATCGGAAATCGAACTCGAGCCGCCGGGTTCGTAGCGCACCGCGCTCACCGCTGCACCACCGCTCCCCACACGCACATACAGGCGCACAAACATAAGCTCGCGTGCGCGTGTGGGAAATATTTTAATGTTGAAAGGACGAACAGCCAAGCAGCCATGGGAACAAATGTAATGGATATTAATAGAACTGGCACAGCGTTTGCTTCTGCCGTGCAGTTCACCAAGTTGGGCTTTGGCAGGACTACGTAAAGTACGCGCAGAGCCTTTTGTCAGTCCACCACTGGACGAGGTCCTCCTCCACCTTGCGGGTCGTTTGACCATACTTCACCACGCCCGTCAGCGCGGTGCTGGCGAAGGCGGGGAGCGTGGATGTGAAATTATGGAAGCGCATTTCACCGATGGGCTGTTTCGCTGCACAGGCCACAAGAGATTGCCTTTACCGGAGCAACTAGAAAAAATTAATATCATTGACTCTGAGCACAGGTGTCACGGCAGGAGAGGGCAAGCAGGACAATGGAATGTGGAAGGAAACCCGCGGAGATGTGATCAGGAGGAGGAGGAGAGGCTGTGACGGGTGGGACACGCGTCCAGGGTGGTGGAGGGCTGGTTACAGGGAGACATCGCGGTGGCACCCAGAGATCGGTGACCAAGAGGAAGACCTCTGAAGCCCCGCTTGGTGGTGGTGGTGGTCGTGGTGATGGTGGTGGTGGTGATGGTGGTCGTGGTGGTGGTGGTGATGGTGGTGATGGTGGTCGTGGTGGTGGTGGTCGTGGTGGTGGTGGTGGTGGTCGTGGTGGTGGTGGTGATGGTGGTCGTGGTGGTGATGATGGTGGTGATGGTGGTCGTGATGGTGGTGGTGATGGTAGTCGTGGTGGTCGTGATGGTCGTGGTGGTGGTGGTGGTGATGGTGGTCGTGGTGGTGGTCGTGGTGGTGGTGATGGTGGTGATGGTGGTCGTGGTGGTGGTGGTGGTGATGGTGGTGATGTTGGTCGTGGTGGTCGTGGTGGTGATGGTGGTCGTGGTGGTGGTGGTGATGGTGGTGATGGTGGTGATGGTGGTGATGGTGGTCGTGATCGTGGTGAGATTGTAAGAGCTAGTCCTTGAAGGTCGGGTGTCGACTTTACGGTGGCTACAGGGGGACGTAGCGGACCGAGGCGACGGTGGGATGTGGTGGCATCAAAGGCATCGGCCTCTCTGATGACTCCCTTTGACCTTTACCGGTCAAGAAGCTTGAGGTTCAGCCGTCTGCACCGCCCCACCGTCATCGACCACCGATGACCAAGAGTGGATCATGCTGCTGCTGTGTCGGGTCAGGGGTGGAAAGTGAGAGATGGGTCATGATGACCAGTGAAATTTAACAAAGGCTGCCTGCCACAAGTGGCCAGGTCGCTTCTGAAAAGGAAGCTAATAGCTCAGTGGGCTTTACCCGGTAAAATATACCTAGTTTAGTTCGTTATTTTTTGGTGATTTCCTTACCTTTACTATACTTTGCACTCCTATCGTGTTTTTTGTATTGTTTGTTGTTGTAACTTTCTGACCCTGCGCCCCTTACTGGACATTTGTCAAAAAGAGCTTCGAAGCTCATCGGATTCCTCCAGGATAAATAAAGATTCTGATTCCGAGTGCTCAGGGGGGTGGCGACTGCTTCAGGGCCCTGCCACGGGGCATACAAGACTGACACCGGCCGTGGGGGGTGTGGGGGGTGTAGAATTGGACAGTGGGTTGGGGGGGGCCCATTGCATTCCTTGCACCAAGGCCCACTGTCGGGCGCAGACAGCATCCGAATGCGACCAACGCCCCTTTCCCAAACAGCATTCCCGCTCTTCCGATAACCACATCCCGGGAGCTGCCTTCTCCTGATGCGCGAGGGGGCCGCTCGCTGACGGACGCCGTTCAAATGGCTGGCTCGCGCTGGTTTGGCAACGCGCTGAGTGAGCCTGATGCGCGCGGAGGGAAGGGGAGCCGGCGCGGGCAACCCGATGCCCCACTCGGCGCTGCAACCGAGACTTTCCCCAGGAGCCGCGGGAGGAGGGGAGGCGGCTTGAGTCACTCTCGCGGCGCGCCTCCTCGCTTTGTGCGGTGGCGGCGCGCTCACCGCTCGCCGCTGAGGTGCCTGCGATGCTCGCACGCGTCCCACTTGGCAGCCGTGTGAAGCGTGCGTGTGTGCCCTGTGGAGTGTGTGTGCGTGCCAGGTGGAGCGTGCGTGCGTGCGTGCCGGGTGGAGTGTGCGTGCGTGCCGGGTGGAGCGTGTGTGCGTTGCTGTCTGTGCTGTTTCGCCCAACGCCCCGTCACCTCTCACCCAAGAGCGAACCCCTCCCGTGTGACTCTGTTCCCCTGTCTCCACATCTCCCTCCGTGTCACCTTCCTCTCTCCTGAATGTGGCCACGTGTCCCTAACCTGCCCTCCTCCGTTCCTCTCTCAATGACTCATCCACGTGTGGTCACGGCCTCCTCCGCTTCCTGAATGTATCCCTACCTACTTGCACTCCGGCCTTCCTTGCCTCCTTTCCCTCCCCTACCTCCATGTTCTCTCAAGCGACCTCCCTCTCCTCCATCCATCCATTCATCCCCAACTCCCCTCCACCTCTCCTCTCTCATCCCTCAGCTCGGGGTGGCTCCTTCCTGGGCGTGCTGGGCCTCCGCCGCTCGTCGTCACGCTCCAGCCTCGCGTCGCAGCAGAGCAAGCGCAGCTCGTTCCGCAGCGCCACCCCCGTCAGCGTGGGCAGCTCGGCCGCCAGCGACACGGCCTCCGAGGCGGCCGACCGGCGCTCGGACGCGGCGGGCGGCGGCGCCGACGAGGGCCCCGAGGAGGAGGCGGTTGACGCCACCGCCACCGAGGCCTTCGCCGGCGAGTGGAAGGGCGACCGGCGCAGCGGCTTCGGCGTGGCCGAGCGGTCCGACGGCCTCAAGTACGAGGGCGAGTGGCTTGACAACCGTCGCCACGGCTACGGGCGAACCACTCTGCCCGACGGGCGCAAGCAGGAGGGCAAGTTTCGGCGCAACGCCCTGGCGCGGCCGGCTCGCAAGCGCACGCTCATCCCGCTGCGCGCGAGGAAGATGCGCGAGAAGGTGGAGCGCGCCGTGGAGGGCGCCCAGAGGGCGGCCGCCATCGCCAAGCAGAAGGCCGACATCGCCCTGTCCAGGTGGGGCCCACATCGGATTTGCATTGTCGCCATCATCGCCATCATGGCCGTTCGTCGCCGTCGTCATCGGCCACGAGCAATCCAACGCCGGATGTTGGCCTCCACAATCCGTCGCCAAATCTCACGGTCACGCGATGCGTCTATCAATCCTGCGCCCGTGCGCGGGGCCGGTCCCAGGTATCTCAAAATTTCCCCGAGGTGGATCGTGCACCAGGATGTTTGACCAACGTGATATTTACGTGTTCGACGTTTGGGAGGAAACCGGAGTGTCCGGAGAAATCCCCAACGTGCATGCGTAGGAGGGGGATAGCACTTAGAGCTCCGCGCGGACAGATTCGGTCAGGTCGCATAGAACTATTTGCGGACGGAATCCATTTTAACAGTGCCATATCCTCACCACCTCGCAGCTGGAAAGCCCTAGTAGTCTCCAATATTAGTGCTAAACATGGGCAACCTTGCTTAGCTTCCGAGATTCTTGCAAGATCGGGAACATTCCCGGGCGGTTTGGTCGTAGGCAAATTAAGCGAGCACCGATATATCCGCACCTCCGATTAGCACGGTTGGCTACGTACGGTGCGAAAGAAGTTACAACGTACACACAGCGATTGTTCTACGCAACGCATATGCGAGTGAAAAGCGGGAGAGGCAGTCAAATGGTGTTCCAGCGCCGACAATTGCCCATTCTCTGCGGTCCTCTATTTATTAAGTTGTTGTCAGCCAATAATTTTCGAGTGTATGCAGGTGGGAGGAAACCGGAGCGCTCGGAGAAAACGCACGCGTGTGCGAGGGTGACACACCCTATCCCAGTGGTTCTTCTCCTTAGCCCGGGGTGCACGCTGCACCACCTGGGGGTGCGAGATGCCCTTTCTGGGGGGGGGGGGGGTGCGAGACACGGACAGATTTTTTTTCGAAAGTAAATCATCGAAACGCAAATTAAGCACGGGCACGTGAGTAACAACTTAATTTGTTTCATCAAACCCTGTGTAGTTATTAACATCGCACATTTTTTTTTTACGATTGAGAACCAAAGGGGTGCAAGGCTACAGTAAAGGTTTGGAACCGCTGCCCTATCCCATACAGACGGAACATGAAGAGTCCACATTTGACGTGATACCGCGTACCTCACGCGAACCAGGAGCTCCTCATCGACTCACCACGGGGGAGTTTCTCAACATGTGTGCAATCCGCCAACCCTCGCTGCCTCCGCGGTGCCGGATTACAGGCTACCCGTGCGGCATTAACCGCCACCACAGCCGCCCAGCTATATTACAGGCAGCACTGCACAGGGGGGCCCCTACTGGCAGCATCGATGATCCTACGCGTGGCCGTCCTGGCTGCCAAGCCTCTTCGCTTTCCCTTGGTCGTGCTGGCCAGGCTAAGTTAACTGTGGATGACGATGCGGAGAAGGTTTCAACACGCTTGCATATCTTATGCAATGCGATACGACGCGCGTTTCTATTTGCGGCCAAATGCGACCACATCTCAGGACACCTTGCAGAAACGGTGGGCGTAAGTGATTTTATATATAAACTAATTTTTTTAACTAAACCAGTTTTTATTTTTATTTTACCAAGGCCCCCTGAGCTATATGGCTCTTTTTCAGACGCGACCTGGCCATAAATGATAGCTCAGCAAAAGTGGCTTATCACGTGAACGTTTATAGCAGCTAAATACTCTAAACGCGTGATGTTCATTCTGAATGTGGAGGGAAAAACCGGAGGACTCGGAGAAAAATCCACACGACCACGGGGAGAGAGAGAGAGAGAAGTACACGGAAACAGGCGTGAGGGTCGGGATCGAACCCACGACCTCCTGCCATACCAGGCGAGGGAGTTAACATCTCACGGAGATAAATATTAGACATGTCACAGGGAGATGCTCATCGGGCAGTGACCTGGCCGAGCGTTAGCGGGTTTGCCACTTGCCACAGAGGCTCGCGGTTCGAGCCCCATGGCCACCCCTGGTCAATACCGTCGCCGCCGCCGTGGTGAATATTCAGCGTGAACACTACCGCTTTCACAGCAGGGCCACGTGTGCCGGGTGCCATGGTTCCGGATTTGTAAGATTTCTCGCAAATGATTCAATCGGGGAAAAACAAGGTGTAATGTCACCCTGCCGCCCTCCCCCCCCCCAAGTTGTGAAACCGATGCAGACACCTTTCTGTGCCTGCGAGACGGCGCCTCTACGATTGCCCGACTGAGAATGGAGCGAAAAAAGCAAGCGGCTTACTCGTGACTTGATAAGGCCAGAGTAAACTGTGAATGTAACGGCCATTCTTCTCACCATGCAGTGAGGGAAGGGGGGGAGTGAGGTTAAAACAGGAACAAACAGCAACCGTGAGAATGAGAGTGGCAATAGAAGAGTGACAAGGAGGTGGCTGTCTACCGCTGAGCGAGTTGCTCTTTCGCACCGTACGTAGCCAACCGTGCGAATGGGAGGTGCGGGAGGACAACAAACTAAACACAAAAATAAATGAGTTTTTAATCTAAATTTAAAAGTGGAAAGCTCCCAGTGGCTTCCGAATATCGGAAGGAAGAGCGTTCCAGACGGCCGCAGAAGCGCATCTGTAAGCGTGCGATGCGGTGACCACCGTCTTTGTTCGATGGTTAGCCAAAAGCCGCTGCTGCTGCGAGGATGACCGGAGCTCGCTTGATGGCTTATGCTCCCTGACGAGATTAGCGAGGTATTGTGCTTCAAGCGGAAATGAATGAGGGTCTCAAGGTTGGGGGACGGGGGGAGTGATTGCCCCATATTGTTCCTTTCCCCCTTATTCCACCACTGGTTGTGACAATATGAACCCCCCCCCCCGCCGGCCTGCCAGCTGGGGACATGGTAGCACCCGTGGGTGGTCTCCACTTAAAGCCAGAGGCACAGCTTGTTTGTTGGGGGCTTCTTCCCCTGGAGGGGCGGAACATTTGTGCAGCCCAAACAGCTCGCGTTGACGTCCTTCCCCCCCCCCACCCCCCGATCTCATCATCGAACTCAGTGTCAGAGGAATTATTTTCTCTCTCTCTCTCTCTCTGAGTCTGGATCGTGAGAAGCTGACGTAAAGACCGCTTCGATAATGTTGATAATATTGTTTGTAGTGATGGTAATGATGACCATCATCATGAGTGTGCAACTTTTGCCCTCGTGTGTCACCTCAAGTAAAAATCAGAATTTTGTATTTGGACCGGAGGAATCCGATGAGCTGTGAAGCTCTTTTTTCACAGACGTCCAATATGGGTGGGTCAGTTAAAATGTGATTATGTTTTTAAAAGTGTTTCATGGAAACAACCACATCATTATTATCGGGGTCAAAGCGGAGCGCTCCCAGTTTTCATGTGGAGCGCTTGTGTCAATCCTACTTTAAATTCATACGCTTAAAATCTAATTATTAATTTCATATCGCGGCGTTCAGGCCAATTGCATCTCCCAATAGCTGAGCGGGAGCCAGAGAGATGGAAGGCTTCCAGGCGGGGAGCCGGTCCAACAATCGCTCTGCAGTTCTCCACATATTGAAATGTTTTCAACCAATTAGTGAGCGTTTATTATACACGTGCAAGGAAAGCGGAGCACCGGGAGAAACCCCATGCATGCGAGGGGGCAATACTCTATTCCATACAGAAGTTACAGACGATATCGGCACACACTTTTTCTGTACTGCTTTCTGCCAGCGCGCCACAGACGTGCAAAGCCACCTCCACTGCTAAATGTGAGACTCCACGTCTTGGGGGTCATGGCGAATATTTGACCGTGCACGTTGGTTGAAGGGGCCGTTGATAATGGCGATGGTGGTAACAGTGGTGACCTGGTGATGAAGGTGGTTGCGGTGATGGGTTTTAGAAATGTTTCGCGTGACATTAGTGGCGGTGGCGACGATGGTGGTGGCGGCAGCGGCGGTTGTGGTAACAGCAGTGATGGTGATGGATTAAATTACAATGCCGTCAGCTGAGGCTAAATTTTGGCAAGCCATGTGGCGTCACTGTACGGCAAACATTCCGCCCGATGGACATGTGGTGGCTTCATATTTCTCCATTGAGTGGCTTCGTGTATTTAAGCTGAGTCCAGAGCTAACGGCAGTGTCATGTTCGTGTGGTGTCTGCGTGTCTCTGACTGTGTGGTTTGTGCGCATTTCAACTGTGTGCGTGTGTCCCTGATTTTGTGATGTGCGTGTCATCCGTGTGTGTATGTATGTCTGTCATCTGTGTGTGGGGAGCGGTGGTGTAGCGATTAGCGCTCTGCTCTACGAACCCGGTGTGCCGAGTTCGATTCTCGCTCACAGCCACGAACACCAGTGATAATTATCTGAACAGGTCTTGGGCCTCTCCTAGGTCGACTCAGCCTCAAATGAGTACTTGGTGTGGTGCGTAAAAACATCGCCACTGGGGTGACAAAGGCGGTCGGGCATGGTGTTGGCCATCCACCCCCTCGTGTGCCGTGCCGGCCTTCATAGGTGCTCGCTAAAAGCACTTGCCTCAAGTCTGTTAAGGCTATACGGGGAATCTTTGTCTTTTCTTGTCATGTGTGTGACAGCAGTGGTGCATTGGTTAGCGCCTGTGCCTCCCCTAGGTCGACTCAGCCTTAAATGAGTACGTACCTAATGCGGTGTGTAAATCTCACCACTTAAAGAGTTGCTCGCCAACTGCACTTGCCCCAGCATTCTTAAGGCCAAATATGGATCATTTGTGTGTTCGTTTGGTTGCGTGTTTGGGATACTACGTACTCTACGTGTGTGAGAGATATCGTACTGCGTGCATTTAAGTTCATGTTCAATGACTGACTGCCTACTCCATGAAAGAAATGAGCCCACTGCCTCCGTATAACTTCTTGAAATGTGATCATATGTTATGCAATAACAAATTCACATTGTATTATATCACGTGAATGTGCGAGATAGTCTGTTCCACGTGTGTGTGTGTGTGTGTACGAGATAATTCTGTTTTCTATGTGTATGTGAGATTCTGTGTGCGTGTGTGTGAGAAAGAGTCTCTTCTCTTGGGGGATCAGTAGTGCAGCGA